CTTGTTTTACACCGATCTTCACTTGCAATGCGTCTGTCAGCTGTCCTCAATGCACGACTATGCACTGTAGTCCGTCCTGTGAATCCCGGATGATGTTGACGATTTTCTCGGCTGCTCACACCATAGAATGGAAGAAGGTTCCATGATGATCTCCTATCCACATTGTCGAATGCTTTCTCAAAGTCAAGGAAGTTGATGAACAGTGACGAGTTCGACTCAGTTAATTGTTCAACGATGATCTGCTCAGATCTCCTTTCTTTGGTATCTTGATGAGGTGTCCCTTTTTCCAGTCCGTCGACACTTGTTCCTCCTCCCAAATCTTACTGAATAAACGGTGAAGCATAATTGCTGTTACTTCTATATCTGTCTTAGCAGCTTCAGCTGGTATATTGTCAGGTCCATCTGCTTTCCCACTCTTGATTTGTCTGATGGTCATCCTGATTTCTCCGATCGTTGGTGAAGTGACATCTATAGGAGGGTGTGTGTCCTGCTTTGACGTCCGGTGGATTCAATGGAGTTGACCTATTCAAGATTTCCATAAGGGTTCTACACATATGTTGCCCTGTTATTGAATGTCAGTGATTGGCTTGCCTTCTTTGTCCTTGACCGGTCTCCCTGGTTTACCATATTTCCCTACGAGTTTCTTCGTTGTGTCATATAGTTGTTTCATATTTCCTTTTGTTGCAGCTTATTCCGCTTTCGTTGCGTTGCTAGGTCTTCCACGTATTTCGGTTTGTCAACTCTAATGCTCCTCTTAACTTGTTTGTCTGCTTCAGTGTATTCAGCTCGTTCTCTGACTTCATCTGCTCTTGTTCGACTGTTGTTAATTGCCGTCTTCTTGTTCTTCCTTTCTTGAATCCTGTCCAGGGTTTCGATAGAGATCCATTCCGTATGACGACGGTGATGCTTATTATGTCCCAGAACCTCCTGACACGTTGAAGTTCGTGCTTCTTCGATATCTTTCCAGCTCTGCTACATCGCAGTTTCTTCTTTCTATAAATCCTGTAGAACTTGGAACCTGTTGTTGAGAGTTATCTTCAATTGGGCGAGTTTTTCATATCTTGATTAAAGGCTGTATTGGATCTTTGTAATGCTATGTGTCCAGCTGTCTAATGCTTCTTCAGCTTCAATATCATCTTTGAAACTAACAGGTGGTGGTCCGAAGCTATGTCAAAACCTCTCTTGGTTCTTACATCTTTCAGTGACGTTGTTAAGTTTTTATTGATGCAAATATGATCGATCTGATTCTGTGTAGTGTGATCCGGTGAGACCAATATGGCTTTGTGTGTGGGGACTGTTGTGCTACTTATAACCAGTTTGTTGAATGCACATAGGTTTGCAAATCAGTCACCATTATGGCTCCTTTCTCCTAGTCAGTACATATCGTCCCATGTTATCGTCATACCAAGTGTTTTTCATTCCGGATTCGGGGTTTAGGTTTCTCATCAGGATGGTTAGTTCGTTTCTTAAGCAGTTCGCTATGATCGATCGTAGTCTCTCATGGGACTGATCTTTATCTTCGTCACTGCTATAATTGGTGGGTGCACAACATTGGATAGCATTTGTTGTGATTCCTTCCTTCTTTTTAAAAATAATGCTTTGATGATCCTGAATCCATGAGATTGCCGTACTACAAGTGCTTAACGTGCTCCTTTGGACAGCATCAGCAACTCCCTGAGTGTGTGGAGCATTTTTATCTTCGTGGCCAGAATACAACAGCACTTCTTCCCTACCTAGTTTTTGCTGTCCAGCTTGGGTCTAATGCGTTTCATTGATTCTGAGCACTGTCAAGTCGTATCCCCCTTCATTTTCGTTACTATTTCTCTGGTCCTTCCGGATCTCACATTATCCTAACATTCCATTTACCTTTAAAAATTATTGCTCTGGTTGTTGGAAGTGGCATCAGCCTTGTGATTTCCAAAGAATCCCGGCTTTTAGCATGAGGTGTCACAGTCCTTCTGAATGATGACTAAGGATAACATATTAATATGATTTACCAAATTCTTTTTTTCCTCTATTATCGTTCATATACCTAGGTTCTTGCCTGGAGGTATTGGTGATCCACTGCTACCAGACACGGAAGCCCGTTGGGCGAAAGTTCCTTCTATTCCGTCCTCAACCATTTGAACCAGAATGGCGGGGTTTAAATGGTTAGCGCTTCTTTGGTAGTTTTTTTGTGACAGTATTATTAGTCATTACATGCGACGTTACTCATGCGAGTCTGATTTTCTTATTTCGTGGCAGCAAAGATCAAACGTAGTGGACGAAGAGAAACAAGCCCTACGTAGACTGAACCTGCAGTACCTTGGATTAAACTAATTTGTAATAAGTTTTCCTTTTTTTGTACTCGAACCGCGTCTTTCAATTTAAAAAAATATATATCTGCGTTGCCAGTACTCCACGTTCTTACTTCTGAGGCATTTACCGGTTCTGACTGATCTGATGTTGTTTCAAATCGCAACTGCTTCTAAGTCAACGGTCTTAATACGTGTGGCGATACTATAATTTATGGACAAGACAATCAGAAGCACTTGACGGATTTTAAGGTCACGGCGCCAATTTCAGTAACTGATGCTCATATACGATTGGTTCACAGAGGATTTTAGTGAAGACGTGACGATTAAGCGGCTGCAATAAATGGGATGACCGAGAAGCTCCTTTATTTGTAATTGCGGTAATCAAATGACTTGTAGACCTTGTGCGGACTACCGTGATGTTGTCCTCCGATGTACTATATGTTGGAGGAAGAAGTCACCAGTAACATTGGCTAAAATATCTTCAGATGTTACTGAAGCTTCGGCTGTTCAATGGTATGAGTATTGTAGGGATGTATGCGTAATAAAAATGACAAACTTACACAACTGGGGTACACAAACAATGTTGAAGCTACGTGGTCGAGGTTGGAAGAGTATTTGTGACCTTATCATGGCTCCAGAGACCGACCATTATGGAGCCATATGGATGAGTTCCTCTACGTTATGCATTACGATTTTAAAACTTTTGAACCTCTTTCTAACCTTGCTAAGTTTTTGGACCATATAAAAGAAGCGTGTCCACTTTAATAATAATATATTTCTACTCTATACTAGCTGTTTGCTGATTGGCTTATATTTTTCAAGGTCACCTAAGATTCTTTCAAAGTTGTCCATAAATTATGGTCTCGCCGTACACTCTGCAGTTTTCTACGGGATGGGTTATCTGATCCTATACCCAACTCTCCTCCATTACCCCTGCTTGTGACTGGCAATAGCCCTAGGAGAGCAACAGGTGGGGGTTTGGGAGTTGCTAGTCTATTCTTATCCACCCAAACTTGAGGTTTGGTCAGGTCCTCCTGATAAAGTAACCAGAGTCCAATTAAAAGTTCCTTCACAGCTTTGCTTTATCTATAACTATTCAGTCAAGTAAACCACTACCTTCACCTTTATATACCACAGTATCTAAATGTGAATTGTATGTACTCTGAGTCACCAGCTCACGTTTTCTCTGTTTATTCTCTTCCAGATTTTTTGACTGAAAAACAGACTATTCCTCTCAGACTTCCCTGTTTATGTCTTTTGAGCAAAAATATACTGCTAACTGGACGCAAATCTAATAATAGCTGCACACCACATACTCCCACGTTTATGTAGAGGTAATTGACAATATTAGCGTTTTACGAATAATTCCAAATGCAGTTTTGTTTCTGTGAAACACTTGGTAAAATTTAGGATTCTTATTGTCCAGAAAAAGAACAGATTTCTATCCAATTCTTTGGTATAGTAATCTTGTTAATACAGAAAGAAATTTACCAAGTATAACTAAGCAAACTCTATGATTAGTAAAGTCTTAAATCTCCACTAAGTCTTTCTTATTTAAAGTTATATTAATCAGGAGTTCGTCTTTGGTTTCGAGACGCCCGTAGTTGTAGGCCGAATAGAAAACTCAAATCTATGTCGTTAATGAGGTTTGACACTGTTCGAGCCCAGCGCCGATAATTCAGTTGGTACCATTATCCTGAAGTGTTGGTTTCGGCTGCTTGGAAATGTATTGCAAATGTCATCGAGACTTCCACACGGGGAATTAATTACAGACTCTGGAGCAACGAGGGCAGAACAGAGAGATGACTTATAAATTACTGTAATATAAAAGACAACTGCCGGACTGACAGTTGTCGGTCCGTTACAACCACCCCAGGGTTCTAGAGATAGTACATCTCAGTGGCTTGAGACGTCTTCGGACGTGATTCGGAACGGAAACCAATGGTGACCAGGCGTTGTCTCTTTTTTACACTTCAGAAAATGTATGTAACCCACTTATATAGTTCTTTCTGGTTGTATTCTTGCTAAGCTATTTCTCTAATTTCATCTTACTTTCCACATTATACTCCCCCCTATTTTCACAGTTCTACTTCATTTGTGTGGTATATATTTATTTTGTTGCTCTGGTACGGCTGAGGATGGGGGGAGTCGGCTCTCTCTCTGTCTTGAAATGCTCTCACATGGCTACGCACACACATCCGCTGTCAGGGAAGTCTTACTACTTTTTCGCAGCGGGGGTGTTGTTTACGAAGTTGAGAGGATGGAGAGCGAATGTCCGGCGCTTCAACCGGGTTGGCGGACACGAAGAGTCCATCTAGGGGAGTTGGAAAACCCTGATTCCAAACCAACGATGCACGTAGGCTCCAGTATCCTTTCACGATCGTTGCTGCTACCTTGAGGTGGTGGTCGGGTTTTCCTATCGTGATAAACCAATCGGGCTATTTATTTCATTTATTTATTTAAGCACATAAAAATTGGTACAAGGAAGCACCAGATAAATATGCGCCTCACAAATCTCATTCGATTTGTGTGAGGGCTGTGATACTGCCCAGATGCCCAAACCGAAGCAGGTGGTTTTCTTAGGTGGCCACACCCCACCATTGGTTTGAAATCAGGGTTTTCCAACTCCCCTAGGTGGACACTCTACATCCACCAACCCAGTTAAAGCGCCGGACATTCACTTTTCGTTTTCTCAATTTCGTAAACAACACCCCCGCCACGAGAAGAGCTATACTGGCTGGGGAAATCGTTCCTCAAGGTCTTACCATGCCAGACAGGACGGTTGAAGAGCATGGGACTGCATCTCATGACGTTGCTCAACTGCCTTGTGGACTAGACCTTCAGGTCAAAGGCTCATGAAGTGGTCTTCTACGAAAACCACTTGTTTCGGTTTGAGCATTCGGGAAGTATTCCAGCCGTCTCTCATATCGCATGATGCTCATGGACACCGTCTTTAACTTTTACACTGATGGACATCAGCTCAAAGACATTTTTAAGTAAGATATTGAATACACACGTCGGGTGTCAGTCCAATACTATAACAGAGTTTTTTGTATGTTTAATGTATGCCAGTTAAATATTTGTTTTAAAACCACATAACTTTGATGGCTAAGTTGACTAATTAACATATCAAATCATAATAAGTCTTCACTAAGACCCTGTGTTGTTATGCTTAAATGTTCAATTCCAGTGAGAATTACTTGATCGGGAAATGTCTGTTCGTTGTTTCTGAATGTTGTTCCACGTCCAGCAACACTCGAGCTCATCATTTCCAGGATCAAATTTCACTTCAAACCCTCTTCTGACTTCAGCTTCCACACGCTCTCGGCAGTGAGGTTTGATAAGCATAGCTTCTGCTATACTGTTATAAGATTTCCTTTGTAAAATATTACGGCTATATTATCATCGTCCTGCACACGATAGGCACCATGCAAGTAATCCCAATATTGAATAGCTGGTATTCAGGTATGTACTTAATAATGTCACTGAGCCCACAAGTTTCGACTGCTTATGTATGAGAACTATGCTATTGCAGTGGTGTCCAAACAGCACAGTGTTTGGTGGAGCTTACCTGTAAAGATAGTTTAAAAAGTACCACCTTAAAGTGAATGGTAGTAGTGTTGACTTACTGTCCATCAGTTTCTTGAGTAGTCTTGGAAATGATATGACTTTAAGTGTCATCATATGTAGCTCAAAATAGCTGTTATTGCTATATTTCCTCTCGGTGTTGAACACATGGGAATGATTTGGTTATAGCACTTAACTTTCAGCTGGTAGGTTACTCGTTCCAACGCCATCCTGACCGTTTCAATTCAAGTATACGCGTGGTTTCATTAACCTTCGAAAATAATGTAGCTTAAAGTCGACTTGGTGTCTACTTGTTGAATGGATTACACCAAACATTTCTTTGCCTATGTAGCTAAACTGTAATGAGAACTTGTTTCTATTCTGAATTCATATTACCAGTCACGTATCTTGTTCCCCCTCATTACTTTTTCTACTATTCTCTTTTAGGTTGACTCAATATGTCAGATGTTGTTGAGTGTTTTGTTTGCAAAATTATTTTTTGTGACCAAGAGACCTATTGGAAACATGTTTACGAGGACGACTGTCACAATCCGTGTAGAACTTCAGCTGCCGATTTCAGTAATGATAAGAATAACATTCAAAAATCTATTGAAAGTGTGTCTAAAATAAGCAAAAACCCAGGCATACCATCTACAAATCAGGCTTCCGATGTTTTGTTAAAAGCATCCTCGTCTGATAAAGCGTATAGTATTAAGGTACCGCTCAAAAGAAATCCTACCAATAAGGCTTATTGCGATGTTTGTCAAACCTCCATGACTCCTTTTGATTTAATTCGGCATGAGACCGGTAAGAAGCATTTGAAAATGTTAGAAAAAGCCAACCTATGTGCTCCAAAGTCAGTCAACGGACATCAAGCTGCCAACTATTTTACTGTTAATCATCAAAGGAATTCTTTTAAAGTAGAAAATTATTTTGACCCTAATCATAACCCCTGCAGCATAACTGAGGATATATCCTCGTGTAAGACTTTATCTTCAGAGACTCCAGTGAAATGTGATGCCGATTCTCAGTACATTCCAAGTGTACGTTCGCTCTTAAATTTTAATGAGACATCCGAAAATAATTCAAACAAATCAGCTACTAAGTCTATTTTACGCAGATTGTGTATGACGGAGATTTCATTACTTCTAACTCAAATGGTTGGAGATATGTATCAAAAGGCTAATTTTTATAGGCAATTAAAAATGAAATGTCGGGACGACCTAAATTCTATCTTGTGTCTTGAGGTTCCTATTCTGCCGGGCACAGTTAGTCAAGAACTCACAGAAAGAAATCTTCCCGGACTAAACAGCATTTATCATGGTGAAAGTACCTTGCTCAGTCAGTTACTTTTGTCTTGGGTCAAACAACTCCATGCGTTAGATAACGATTAGCTTCATTAATGAATTGTACATTTATTTGAGTATTTCACTGGATCTTCACAAATAGAGACAATATTTTAATAGAAAATGACTTCTTTATTTTGACTACTTGTCAGTGTCGTAGCAATTGTCAACGCCCAGAGGACTCATCATTTTCACATTCTATGTCTAGAATTACAACTACAGCATAGATCCACCCCTCGTTCATCTTTGCTACCTTTCCTTTCTACATAACTTCTCGCTAGGTTCAAGTGCTTGATCACTATATTTTTATTATCTTAGTTCCATTCTAGGGAATGAAGTGTTTCTATTTTATCTCTGTAGCTTTCTCATGATCTTGATAGCCGACGACAAATTGTTCTTTCTGCATAGAACATTAGCGAAATCGTGTTAATTTCTGCATCCCTAACCATTCATAAGTTGATGGTTAAAATACTTTGTTATAAGTATGTGTCATATGTTGCGCTCAAAAGTTCTATCTTCAGATTTCCCGTGATTTATTATTTGAAAAACTGTCAAAGGGTTTATTTGGAATTTGGTATGGTTTTTGTAGTGTCATTATGTTCTTAATATCAATTGGGTAACTGGGATACGTTAGCGGTCAAGTGATTTAGGTGTCTCTACATGATAATCATTTTTTCATATTTATGTGTCACCTGTCAGCGTAGTGTTTAAGATTATCTGTCACAGCCAGTCGAAGTGTGTTAACAGGAACAGGTGTTGCTACGATATTTCTTATACTAGGGTTCTTCTTATAGATATGACCACTATCGTAGTGTGACTAGTATAAATGCTACAACGAGTTGACTGGGTTCTAACAGTCTTATTTGACTCTAGTAGTTCGATTATTCAGCGTTCGTTATATACATATATCTCAAGATTAATTTCGTGTATATTACTGGACTGAATCGCATTCATTATAACGCCATTTCCAAAAGCTGATGTACGAAATCTATGAAGGGTACATATATCCCTAGGATGTATATGAGCAGCAGACAGATTAATCCGAATAGATAAATAGTTGGGGTTGGTTACACGTTAAGTAATCAAATTATTATGTCTACATTTATAGAGTCATGCATAGTGCAATAAATATACATGCAGACACATGCATGTATAGGAAATGTACTTCCACAAAATGTTAGTACGTACTCATCTCAGCATTAGCGGAAAATGGTTAACAAGGTCATGAATGAAAATGTACAAGCAGTAAAAATAAATATAAAGCGATTGAGAATATTACAGTCACACATTTGGCTCCCATGTGATTATTTGGTCAGACGTTTGTGAATTTCATTTCGTACTAATGATATTAGTCCTGGTAGGATTTCCATAAAATATACGAAACAAACTAGAAATCGGTACCTATAAATGTCTGGGAAAACCCAGTCAGTCAGCTACAACGCAGGACTAGGCACATATGTGCGTCTGTCCAAGTTGCCACACCTCATCAGCGCGTCGTGGTAATCGGTGTTCAGGCATACGTAAAACGTGGCCCAACCATCTCAGTCGATGAACATTCATGACCTCATCAACTGATTTACCATCATTCCCTAATACCCTGTTCTAACCTCAATATTACTTACCCGGTGATCCCAGCAGATGCGAGCAATGTTTCTAAGACATCTGTGGTCAAATACTAGTAACTTACGAGTATCTTCTACTCTTAATGGCCATGTTTCACGGCCGTAAAGTAGAACAGAGCGAACTACTGAGCAGTATACTCGTCCGTAGTTGCTAGACGGATATCTCGCATTCGCCATAGTGCACGCAAGTTGGCAAAAGCCAAACGAGATTTTTGAATCCATGCTGAGAAGTTGTCGACGCGTTCGACTACTTCACTCCCTATCCTTAGTTCAGGTGTCGATGCAGGCCAGTCCTGGGTAACAATTTACATTTAGATGGCGAGAAACGCATCCCAAACATCCTGGCATTATTACTCAGTTCTAACAGAAGACTATGCATTTTGTCAGCGTCTTCACCTAACAGGACTATATCATTTGCGTATTCTAAGTCGATAAGTGGACCTCCTGGTAGAAGATCAATTCCTGAAAATTCAGTCGACGAGAGTGTTATTTCCAGCAATAGGCCTATAATGAAGTTAAACAAAAATGGGGATAGTGGACAGCCTTGACGGACACCACGTGAGGTTGTAAAGTCAAATGACAGTTCGCCATAAGCTTTCACTCGACTGGTAGTGTTCGAGTAGAGCCTTCACAAGGTTTCTGCACTTCTCAGGTACACCTTTCAATGACAGACACTGCCACAGAACCTCTCGGTCTACAGAGTCAAATGCTGCTTTCAAGTCAAGAAAAACTATCATTGTCGGACGCCGATAAGCGTCTGTGTTCTAAAACCTGACGAATAGTGAATATGTGGTCGATGCAGCCACGACCAGGTCTGAAGCCAGCCTGATTTTCTCGTGTTTGCAGTTCACGAGTCTTAGTTAGGCGCCCAATAATTATTGAGGCTAGTATTTTAGATGCTATGTTAGTCAAACTAATCCCTCTATGGTTATCATAGGATGATTTTGGTCCCTTCTTATATATTGGGGCGATCAGTGATTGTGACCAGTCAGATGGGATTACGTCCAACTCCCAGATTTTAGCTAAAATACTAGTCAACCTAATTGCTAAAACTGGACCACCATACTTAAAGGCCGCTGGAGCCAATCATTCTGGACCAGTTGCTCTTCCTCATTTCAGATTAGTTATAGCTTTTTGAACTTCAATTAGAGTCAGAGGGCCTTGCTACTTAAAGCATTTCGCCCATCATTTTAAAAGTCAGGACTGAGAGCAGATATGAGTGTCATCTTTTTCGGCTATTGTCTCACTTACACTTGGCTTCTTAATTTCGTTTTTTAGTCTGGAAAGCTGTCTGGTGTTACCTACGGCCGCTGCCTTTTCCATGTCTTATGTTTTCGTTGTCCACAACTGCTCACGATCGTTCCTTAGACTTTTGGTTAACCTACATCTGATTCGCTTTCGTTCATCATCGTATTCCAGAACGAGCGACAGTCTTCTATCGGGCCTCTCCGACGATGAATGATAGCAATATGGTCTGTTTGAGTTCATTTTTGGTTTGGTGCAAGGGTTCGAGATTTTAGACGATGTCTCTCCTTGTGCTTAAAATTATTGCTTGTTAAAAATAAACGATTGTCTGAGCACAGTTACGGCTGACGGTCACCATCATCTGTTTGCTGAGCCGGAATAACAAAATACCCACCTAAATGCCTTTCTGTTTGGTTTAAGCTTCCTACTTGGGAATTAAAGTCACCTGCTACGAGTACTATGTACGAGTGTTTAGCTTTTTGAAGAAGTTCAGAAAGCTTACTGTAAAAGTCATCTTTCATTTCAATCCGGGCTGCAGTCAGTGGAGGCGTAGGTAGAAATGAAGAAAAGGCAACGACGTGTGTCCCTATCCTTCCGAGTTCTTACGGGGCCGTTTAGCTGAACGACACATAGGCGAATGTTAATATAGATCTTTTTTAAAAGTGCCTCTGCCCTTATGCTTAGTGCCATGCCTACACCCGCCAGTTCATGAGGACTAGCCTTCTGATCGCCAGATGCACGGAGGTTATATCTCGTCGACTCTCCTTTTTATTGAGGTGAGGTCAAGTAAATGACCACACTAGGATCCCGTATGCGTGTTTCGAAGACACAGCATACATTTATCTTACGAGATTCTGTGGTTTCAGCCAAGGAGTCATGCTGGCTGATTTGACATAGGGGGCGTACGTTGAAGACTTCAATGTGTAGTTTGGAGAGGGATTTTAGCAGACTTGAGACAGTATTTCGCACACTAGAATCGTTTGCCATGGTGACACATCAAGAGAGAGTCGAAGCAGGAAGTTTAGAGTTGAAAGTCGAGGTAGGAGAAATAATAGGAATTGAAGAGGAAAATTGATTATAAATACAATGGTCTCGAGTGCTATTAGAGATAGGTGGGCGGTTATCACTTCCCGGTTGCCCACACTGTGGAAAGGTTCTTCTAGAGGCAAACAAAAAGCTGTATTGCTGATTTTTCAACCATCTCCGTATAGATAACACAAAGATTATACTGACGCTAATGAAGCTCACTCCTACTCTAGGACGTTAATTTAAGGATGTGACCGGCACGTATCGCTTAGATTTTAGGTTTATTGACGGACATGTCCCTTTTATCTACGGTGGATTAGTAACTCACGCCAGATGACTGAGCTGGTGAAATGTCACTTAGGAAAACTTCAACTACATCTGTCTTTCACTTTTTTGTATACCCACCTAGAGAATGAATAAGAGATCGGTCTGGTCTTCAAGTCTTAAATAAACTTGAAAATGGGGTAAGTAACTTTAGGGTAGGCATAAGCATCAGTTCACAATGGACTAGTGCTAAAAATAAATTGACCGAGGTTACTGAATATTGTCTGAATAACGCTTACTGCTGTAGTTTTAATATTCATACCCCATTATAAGTGAAAGGTTTTTCACCCATCAATGTTACCTGTCATCCAATAAAATAAAGATCTTGGTCACCATCCCTTTAGGGCGATTATAAAAAGTCAACAATTCCTGGGTAAGTACTCTTTTTAATCCTAAACCATTCTAATAAATCAAAAGTGAATAAAATAGTTCCTAATGCAGTCACGGTTGCATAGAATATGTTTCTGATTATGTTTTCCCTGCTAGTGTTCCCCTCCCTCAATGCGTTGAAAAGCTCCATCAAGTAGCTTAAAAAGGCTGCTTATTGTCATTTTCCTGTTAGTGATTGGTATTTCCATAAGAAATAGCTACTGTATATCAAGTTTTGGTGTTGGCGAAGTAATCATCAGAGGGTTCAATTAATAAACGGCAATCGTCCTCAATTAAGAAGGTAAATTAAGCAATTTTATAAGACTGTTTCCTCTAGGTCTTTAATGAAAAGTGAGTACCTGTTTTCCATTTATCCCAAGTACTGGGCGCTTTCTCGTGGCAATGTAATTCCTCGGAGTATTGAAACAATATTTGGATGGTGGAAGCTGGCTAAAGCCAAAT